AAAAATAAATCCTGTAGGTGGGGGCTGTAAGGCAGAAATGCTGCCTGTTTCATAGATCACAGTGACACCTTTTAGATCTGCTTTGTAAGTAGTTTTGTAATGAATTGTATGAGAATTGCAAGATTCTTGGGCAATACAGTATCTGTTGTGCCAGGCGCTCTTGTTTGACATTGAAACAGGAAGAAAACCAAACCATACCAGGTGAAGCTGTACAGGCAGACATGTCTGACGTTCCTGGAGCCAGGCGCTGAGGCATGGCGGTTCCACAGAGACTGTCCAAATATCAAAGCCAGCAGAGTCCCCAAGGCAGCATCATTTGTGAGACAGGTGAATTCCCACGGGCAGGTCATTAGCAGCAGAACATCTGAAGACAAGCCAGCATGCTGACAGTCAGAGAGACTCAGCTCTGCTTAACATATCCTAGAGCACCAAGGTGACATATAAATCAGTCATATCCCCTGGAACGCATGCAGCAAAGCAGGAATGCCAATTTTCGCAGCAAAAAGTATATAAAAAAACTACCTCATCATTTTAATTTGCTGTTAAGACTTCTGAAAACATTTCCATGCTGAGTACTCAAAACAGTGAGCATTGTCTGTGGTATTCCACCACATTTCCTTTAAGTGTACACCATGTTAGTTGCAGCAACTTTGTGCAGTGTCACTGAGACTATTCGGCTTGGTGAAGCCAACCAGCCCATCAAGAAAACTTATAAATAGTCAAGGAAATGGAGCAAACTGTAAGTGGAAAGCACAGGAAAGCAACTTAAAGTAAAATGTCCAGTGCAGCTTTAAAATGCATGGAGAACACAAAGTAAAGGGCTCTCCAGTTCTCCAGCTGGACTAAACTGTTTCCTGAGGATACATGCATTTGGAAGTCAGTGTTACCTGCTGATATAACTAATTCTTTGTGTTACAGTCCAGTAGTGGATACAGATGTATTTCACTAAAACTACAAATGCACTTATGGTCTCAGTTTGGAGATGGGAGGAATATGCACTCCAGTGAGAATTGCTCAGCAGATACACGTTGGCTGCTGGTTGCTCCCAGATAATGGCACAGAGTTCAAATCAAGTTACAAGGAATACCTGGGGGCAGTCTCCTGTCATCACAAGGCAGACTTGTGCTTGAGCCAACACCAACTTTTTGCAACATACTCTGGAGACTTGAGATGAGATGCAGAACAGCAGCTCTGCCAATTCTTTGTATATGAGAGACTTCAAAGAACATCTTGCAACATGTACTACATAAGCAGCTTTTGGCATTTATTTTGCTATCTTGATTGTGAAAAACAGGAACATTACTAAAATTCTTCAGCAAAAAGGAACAGCACATTTGAGAGTATGCTTTAGGTATGTATGTGTATATGTATATTCATGTGCATATATATAAATAGATAGAGAGAGTAATATCCAGGAACATGAAGAAAACTGTGTAATGGAAAACAACTGCAGATATGTCCCAATAAAGCCTACCTCTTATGTAATGCCTCGATGCTCTTTTGCTTTCCAGGGAACACAGCAGCACTAAGCCAAAATTTTCACTCTCCACCACCTTTTAAACTGCAGTTTCTGGCTTCTCAGTCAGGCTTACATGTATATTTTAAGTGTTTATTCAGTGTCAAGCACTGTTACATAAGCTTTGTAGTACACAGAAGTTATGCCAACAGAGTTCTTGTCCATCTTATTTGCTCAGTCACTGCCTTGGTAATATTTCAGTTGCAAGGGACCTGCAATGATCATGTAGTCCAAGTGCCTGACTAATTCAGGGCTGGACAAAAACTAAAGCATGTTGTCAAGGGCATTGTCCAAATGCCTCTTAAACACTGACAGGCTTGGAGATCCTGAGATGACCCCTCTGCTCCCCCAGCATGGCAGTGACAAAGCCCCCAGACTTGAGACCTGCATCTGCAGGGCTTAGCCTGAGACTGCTGCAGCAAGCCTCTGTGTCTGCTCCACATGCACACAGAACAAGGGCCATCCATGCCCAGGAGAGCTGAGCTGCTGAACATCCCACACTGGGGATGTGCTCCCCTCATCCATCCTGCTGGCACACAGTATGGTTCCCAGTGACCGAAAGGACAGGCAGCCATCCATCCCCATGGCCCTGGTGGGTCACCCCTCCTTGTGGGGTATCAGAGAGGCTTGAAGTCCAAGATGTACAGGAGCATGGGGAATGCACAGAGGGTTCCATGGAAAGTTAAGTCGCCACTGCCATGTGGGGACAGCACTTGGCTGCTTTATAGACAGAGATCCTGTAAGTACTTTTTTGGGGTTTTTTGTTTTGTTGGTTTTTTTGTTTGCTTGTTTTGGTTTTTTTTATTGTATGGTTTGTTCATTTTTACCAATTATTGGCCTTTGCATTTGTCCTGGTTCTGACCAGGACAGGGTTAACTTTGGCAGCAGCCAGGAGGGGCACAGCCAAGACCCTGGGGTTATTCAATACCACCTCCCCTCATGGGCAGGGGGCACAGAAGTGGGGGGAGTTTCTCTGATTTTGGGGGGTTGTGCGGTGGGGTAGCGCCAAACTGGTGTGGTGACAATTGCAGGTGAATTGTTCACCTGTCTTGTACACACACTGCTAGTTGTATTGTTGTTCTTACTGTTTGCTTTTTCATCTCATTGCTGTTTCCACTAAATTGCTCTTAATCTCAACATGCGATCTTTACCTTTTTGTGCCTCCAACTCTCCTCTCCATCCTGCTGCAGGAGGAGGTGGGGGGGAAGTGAGGAAGCAGCCAGTGGACTGGAGTGTTTAAATGTGAACACTAAATTGGGGAATACCTTTCCTACACCAGGAGAGCATTGCAGAGCAGGGGTGCTGGCTGGAGCACTCGGCCTCCCACCAGGGCCTGGGCTGGAGGAGGGAGGCTACTGCCAAAACAGTGGGGCCTTATCAGAAATTTATGGCCAAATCTGCCCTGTCCTTTAGCCAGTTCTAGGCTGAGCAGTTCAGGCTATGTTGCTTGTTCTCCCCAGACCATGTACACATGAAGTCTCATCAGAGATGGGGAATTTAAGGTTAGGGAACAGCAAGGCAGGAAGGAGAAGGAAAAGAAGGCAGCAGGGAAAGGTTGGAACAAAAGACTTAACTAGGAAGAAGACATGAGGTGCGTCAGCTCCTGGTGCTGGGGCCAGAGTGGCAGCCACCTGGTCCTTAAAGCAGAATTCAGATGAATTCAGACTAAAGCTGAATGTTTAGTCAGAACCATATCTTTCTGGCACACTTCCTTACAAGCAAAGGCTTTTGTAGCACTCCCAAGGAGGTGGCTTAGCATTGCTTCTAATTACCCCAACGTGCAGCCCCATCCAGAGCACTACACGCAAAAGCCATTACCGCAAACCCTCGCTCTCCTGTAGCTCAACATCTGCTCTCCCACTGAGCCACGCTGCTGCCACAGCCATCTGGCTGGGGGGCCTTCCCACCATGTACCAGCCTGGTGCCTCAGTCTGAGCTGGCAACCACTTTGGCTGTGAAGAAAAATCCCCCCCACAGGGTTACAGTGCTGGCATCTGTCTGCTAATATTTGCTCCAGCTCCCCTGCACGATTAGAGGGGTCTTGGGCATCTCTGAGGGGGACAGAAACATCGGTGTGGGTTTGATTAATTTAAGGCAAGGGGAAAGGAGGAAAAGCAGCGGGTATTGTCCTGCTTAGGAAACATGCTGCACCCCTGCCAGACAGAAGACCCTGACAAACTCTTACTCTGCCCAACAATGAAAACTCTGAAACCATGCAGCACATGGGGCATCTGCCCAGAAAACCCTTCTGAGCAGCCAGCTGACTCACTGCTCAGCTCACCACTGGTCTGAGAGCTCAGCCAGCAACCAGTGGGAATGTACACATCCTCCCCACCAAAACAGTGCAGGGCTGCAGGCCCTCGGTGTACCAACTGCATGACATGATTCCAGAAATTGTGTCCTGCACAGAGAAAGTGCCCATTCCTGGAAACTCTTATTCTGTTCTTTACATATCTAAACCTGTCGCTCCAAGTCAGAAAATTTCATCCACCAAGAACAAGATCACCCCAGCAAGAGTCCATTAGGGTAAGATGGATAGGAGAAACAATGCCAGCTCAGAAGTATTTTTGCAACAGCTCCAAACATTGGGCAGACACAGGACATGCCACCCTTGTATTGCCTGCACTGGCACAGTCACTCACTGCACACAAGGAAGCAGTGAGACCTAGGAGCGAAAGATGGGCAGGAAGGAGAGTGTGGTGTGAGGAGTGAGTGCAGAGTGTGAGCAGAGTCATGGGGGAAACCAGCAGGAATGCAGGAGACAATATAACTCCAGCAGTAAGCTCTGTGTCCAGGCACGAGGAGAGCGAGTGAGTGCTGGGCACAGCAACACAAATGACTCCACAGAAGAACCAAAAGGCACAGCATCGCTGAAGCTTTCATGCAGATCTGTCGTACTTTTACATGTGACTGAACAGTCGAGTTTTCTATGCAGGCTGCTAATTAGTTGTATTTAACAATAACAGCAAGAGACCAGGAAAATCAGTTTCTACTAAAGCCTGAGGCCTCTTTTTCAAGATGGTCTCCCAATATTTGCCTCAAACAATTCAACAAGTGTTGTAGAAGATAATACTTTTTGCCTTGAAAGGAAAAAGTTAATTTTGATGGAATTAGCATAAAACTCCATATTAGGGCATTTATCAGAGCTCAAACTATGCAGTTACAACATTTTCTTCAAGGCAGATTGTGCATTCCCAAGTCATGCCTCTGTTACCTGATATTCTATATTACAAGTGCGTGTTTGCCTTTCATTATAGTTACAACCCAGTATTGGTACTGCCACACAAGTTAAGTTTGATGACAGCAATTTTTCATCAGCTGTATAAATACTCTGAAGAAAAGTAAACCGAGTGTGAAAGAAAGCAAATGTATCATAGTCCTTAGAAGAGAATTCCATGTTAAACATGAATACAATTTCAATAACCCTGCATTCACTAAATTAGAAATACAATAATGGAATTACCAAACACAAAGTAAAGAGAAATTTTAGTTTAAGTCTGTTTATTGTGATAACATTGTTCCGAACACCAATAAACATTGCACTGAATTGTGGGTTGCTGTACCCAAGACAGTCCAGTCTTAACAAAAACCACTGTATTGGTATGATCACAGATTTGACATTTTAAACACACTACCGTATTAGTGATTGGGTTGCTTAACAATCAAGTATTCCACATCTTCAAGGTAAAAACAAATGATTGAAGAGAGTTTTCCCACCCTCAAAATAAACCAACATTTTAACTTTCATCTGAAAGTAATTAACACTGTAAAAAAATCCCAAACAATTCCATTTTATTTAGTAAATTTTAACTTTGGAAACTAAAACTTCTTTAGGCAAAAGTGACACTTTAAAGGCATCTCAAATTCACTATGTATTTTTGATGGTTCATTATGAATGTGCATTACAGTCATTTAAGCAACTCATTCATATGACAGCATTTTCTAGAAGACTCGTCTGAAATATTAACATGAAATCTCATCTCTTTTCTCTTTACCACAAGCGGATTCATAGTTTGCTTCAGAAGTTCCATGACAAAGTTAACACAAGTGTTAAAACTTTTCCAGTTGAAAAAAAAAAAAAGGTTTTAGGAGGAGTATACTGATGACAGAAAGCTAAAGAGTCATGAGCCAAGATTGCACATGCAATTGTATACTGCTGGGAATGAGAGCCCAATCTTTTGAAGTACAAACATGCTTGGTACAGTAAAAAAAACAACCAAAAACCAATTAAATCCAGAAATGTGTGCCCCTTGAATTGCTGATCCTTAAGACATTATAGAAATGGGTGATGCCCAAGTCACTAACAAGTTTTGAATTGCAGTGTTCCTTATTTACTCCCAGACAGGTGTCCTTGACTCAGCCTTTGACAGGTTCCAACACTAAGAGGATCTGCATCTTCAACAACACAGTCTTAACAGGGGTGTGCACATGCCTACAGACACATACACTTAGAAGTTCCTCTTTCACAGAAAGAATGATTTAGTTTGCACTAATTTTAAATCAGTATAGCACAACTTGTTCTCAAACATTAGTTTCAGGCCACTTCTCTTGACTCAGGTAACAAAGGACAGGCTAATGCTTAATTCTTATTTACCCCACTTCACATTAAATATTGCAGCACAAGCCTACAGTTAATAGCAACAAGATGTCTTCTCTAGAGTCAGTGAAGTGCCCAGCAGCCCAAATGACGTAGGTATGCAATGACGGGTACAGTGCCCCCCTGTTCTGTCCATTAACAGGGTCAACAAACAGTCTGAAAAGCTTCAAACACAAGCCAGACTTAGAAAAAACAAATAAGCCCTCTGCTCTACTCATATCAGAAATACTCAGCAACACTTAAATTTTATCAAAAAGCAAATATCAAATTGTAGCTGTTACAGAGAAAAAAAAAATCTGATTTTTTAACTAAGCAACTTTTTGGACATTCCTACAATGCAAAATGACGTGTTAGCATAGTGAGGAGCTCTCCATGCTCACATAACCACCAAATTTACACCAGCTGAAAGTACATGCATTTGGAGATAAACCTGATATTTTTCCATGCTGATCATTTACTCAAGTCCCCACCTTGAAATCCACAGCTTATCTTTATGACAGCCTGAAAAGATGGAGCTGAAGTGAAGCAAAAAAAAAAAAATTACCACATAAAAAAAAATTAACCAAGACAGGCATAGCCAAACCTTGGTAACAATCTGTCCGATTTGGAAACTCATTGTAGTTTCATGAAGTACTTCTATTTTTAGAAAAGCCGTGTACCAGGGCCACCAAGAGTAAGTTAAGCATGGTAAAGAAAATTTTCACATCCACAAAAGGACTGGTTTAGGAAAGGCTGCTTCACTCCCTTTATGCAAAATAGAATCTTTAGATAGAATATTTATTTAATCTCATAATTAAAATACTTTATTATGTTGGATTCTTATTTATTTATATTTTGAAGTATTTAAGTGACTTAAAAGATCAAATCCCATTGATATTCAAAGCACTTGGTGATCATGAAAATTTCAGTTCTAGTGAAATCTACGGAACAAAAGGTAAGAAAAGGAAAAAAACCCACATGGAATGATGTTTGTAAGCTTCTGACAGTAAAAACAGAAAAAGAAAAAAAGGCAGTAAGAGCAAAATATCCTGTGAAATCCACTTAAACACTGAGTAGACTGGTGACCAAGAACCACTGAAAGTATTGTTCGTGCAGAACAAGAATGACATGCATGGCACACCGTGACAGATAGGTATGGGGTTTTTTTCCCCACTCTCATTCTCCTGTTTTGAAAGAGATTCCATGCTTGCCTCCACTCATTATCCAATGTTTTATAAATACAGGAATACACTAGAGTTTTATAAGGGGGAAAATAGTAATTTCATTTATATGGTGATCTAAAAATGATTCCCCTGAGCAGTTCACCAACTGTCTAGTGTTAGCTGGTGTTACATCAGAACTGGGGGTTAAGACACTCAGCCTAATAAAGAAAATATTCCTGGAGGGGTGCAAAATCCTCTAAATGCACTCTTCTGCAGGTAGTGAAACAGAGCAAGCTCCTTTCCTACATTCAGCCCACGCAGAAGGCCTGCCCCAGCTGTTCCTGAGAAGAGCAGCCCTGTGCAGGCACTGCAGCAGGTAGCCACACAAATGTCTTCTGAAGATCACTCACCCTTCCCTGCTCCCACTGGGAGCTGTGCACAGGGAAGAGCTTGCTCCAGAGTCTGTGGAAATTCTGGATGTTGCCCCCTGAAAGATCTTTAATACATGGCCCCAGGAACACACTTAAGGAGTGAGTGACAGGAAGCCCAGAAATCTCAGGACTGACGATTAAATGATGTTTAAATGACTGTAGTCTTTAAGCCCTCCGGGCTGGTGGAGTGATACGTTCTCACCATAGTTTTGTCCAAAGGAGGTTAAATGCACTAATTCAACTTAGAAAGCAGCTGCCTTTGCCTTCAAACACTTTTGGAGAAACACTAGCTGCTTCTACAGTTGACAAACACTACAATCGGAATGTAATTTGTTCACAGGCTCTGATTGGAACCTGAGGAATGACCAGCATGATGTTTATGAATAATCCAAAACTTAAAACAAACAAACAAAACAAGCCCAAAGAAAAAAGAAAAAAAGGAAAAGGTTTTATTCTGCTCTGCAGCATTTAACCATTCTCACAGCTGGAATCTCACTACTTGGGGTGCATTTCCTTCCAGCTCTTGAAAACCTGCAATACAGAATTCTGGAAACACCTGCAGTAGACAATTAAAATATTAAATACATAATTTTTTTAGTATTACAATTCCCTGAATATAATCTGTACATACGTTTTACTGGCCTACACAGCATACACACACACGCATCATCTCTGTGCTGAAAAAGGAAACAAAAATGCCAGTTCCCCAACTTTTACAGAATTGTTGAAGATTTTTCTTGATGGAAATTAACATGACACAGCTCAGCCTGAAAACAACAAAAGCCATATATGTGTCTGAAGACAACTTTCATTTTTAACAAGCTCATCAAATAGTTTAAATATTATGTGTAAAAAAAGAAAAGTAATAAGCAGAGTTAGTTTGAGCAGATTTGTACAAGCACAGCCTTGTACATGTAACAAAAGGCATATTTACATCTTAAGAGGAATTTTATGTCTTCAGAGTCTGTCAGACTAGTAAGGTCTATACATTTTCTGTATTTTAGCTGAGAAAAAGCACACTGGTCTTGGGCTCTGGTTCCTTTCAAAAATGGCCCAATTGCCCATCTGAACATTAAACCACGTTTTTTATTAATAGGTCTGACATTCTATTTGGCAGTTTCCATACACTTTTTGGCTTCATTTTAGAAAATATACTATTAAGACAAATTAAAAAAAAATTAGTCTGTTTACAATAAGGTCTGTACTGATGAGAATGCGAAGTCATATTTTACCTCAGCATTTAGTTGCCCTGAAGCACTTGGGTACCATGACCATCAATGACAGTCCAATCTCAAGTGCCTTAGAACAGGTATATAAAGACAAGCAATAAAGAAACAAACGAACAAAAAACCCACACACACACACCAAAAAATAAGACAGTAGCTTTGCATTTTCTTTGTTTCAAACCAATGAAGTTAAAGTGATTTCCTTAGTAAGACTTACGGTACCAATATATAAATTATCATCTTCATTAAGAAAGTTCTTCACATTTAAACTGAAGTTGAGTAGTTGAATATGAAATTCCATCTCCTGGTGAGAAGTACTTTTCAGGTCAGTTCATCCATGTTAAGGTCAGGAAGAGGTTCTCTCCAGTAGCAAAAAGAGCTGAATTCTGGGCACGGAAATGCAGAACTCTGTTCTTTATTAAGCAATGGGAACACGTATTCCACAAGCTCACTTAGTCTGTAATACCTATATTAAAGAAGAAGAAAGACCATTATTTAACAGTATAGTCGCTGTTCAGCTGTAACCAAAAAGCAGCTTTGGAAGTCTAGACCAGAAAGTTATAGTTGAATAACTACTGCAGAACCAATTTTCAATTTTATTTTGCCAGTTTTCATTTTGAAAAGTTTCAGTCATGTATCCAAAGCTGTAAGTCTCTGGCAAACAAGGTTTTGCACCTTACATATTACCATATGTAAGAGGAGATCCTGGTCACAAATGCAATTATTTTGTAATCTCATTCTTAGATACTTTCTTTAGTGGAAATAACAAAAATGGTCTTACGAAGATTTGTTTCCCTTAGTCTGTTCTTGGATCAGTTCACCCTTTGGATTCACAGTAAATATTCTGCAGGCTGGAACTCCCACTTGCATGTAGGCATATACATCCTGCAAAAACCATGACCAAAAGCACATGCTTCAACATTTCCTTATTGAATGTGATCCAACAATGAGAAAAGCCGATCCAAAAAGAGTATAATAGAACTATCTCTTAAAAAAAGTCCCTAAAAAACAGGAAAACACCAAAATACACACCACTCCCCCCACCAAACCATACACATGCACCATAACAAAACATTCCCCCTGCCCCCAAACGCTTAATTCCTGTTCCCAAGCCTGGGACCACAAACATGCACAAAATCTATACCGCCCAACACCACTCCTTGTGACAATATTCTTTTTACAATACTCCCCCTCTTTTGCTCAGTTACAGTAGCATTGAGCTGCAGAGAAAATACAGGAACCGTATAATAGGAAAAATGACTGAAGACTGCAGAGCACTGCATTAATGTCCTTAGGTCACAAAGCTGCCAAAAATCCTTAAAAATAATCTGGAAAGGTGGCACATATTTAATAAAATTCTGAGAATACTAATGCATCTTTGTAACCTTTCTCATATAAGCCGTTGTAGCAGCTTTTATCTAAAGTATCTACATATGGTTTTTCCTGACCAAACCCATAAAAGCATCAGTGTCCCCTTTCCATATTCAAATTTTGATAGACACAAAAAGAAAACCCTATTTATTTTGCTTCTCAAGTACTTCATGCATTTTAACCCTTCAATTAGAAAGGGGTAGACTTACATTGGGCCTGTTTCCAAAAGCAGCATAGAAAGGCTGTTTACTGGGAGCAAACAAATTCTTGATATCGTTCAAACATTCGATTTTGAACTTTTCGGGCTTCTTTTCTATTACTTCCCTAAAATAAAATTTCAACAATCAAATTCCACGTCATGATTGGATAGAGGGCATCTTCTTTCCCTCATTTATCTGATATTTATATTCCTACTGCTTCCCATTGGTAGTTACACAGACACTGGTAACTAGCTCTCCAAGAATGATACGAGAGACAATCAAACATTCACTGTTTTCCAACATCCGCATTAAAAAAAAGGTCCATAACCTGTGCATATGTTAAGTATAAATGAGATGGAATTCCCAGTTGTGAATGCAGTTTGTGAACTGCTTTTATTGTAGATGACTACCTCAATCAGAAGATCTAATCAAGTACACATAAGCTTGTCACAACTCCTATCTCTGACAAAAAAGTGTGTAAGGTCCATGACCTTAACGGAATTTGTTGTCATTGCTATCCATGAATGAGTCATTCTTATTAAAAACAAAACCAAAAAGACTTTTCTACTGTTAGCTCCTCCCATCAAGAACAAGTAGAATATGGCTGGTCCAAAAGACCAGTTGAGTTAAACCATACCTAAATGCCATACTGCTTTGTAAGTACTTGTATATGGAGCACTCCCAATATCACAAGGTCCTTTTGCATGACAGTCTATATTTCCCAGCTTTTTTCCCAGCTTTTCTTCTATCTTGTGTAGTAGCACTGCACTACAACCCTTTCAGGTATACTTGAAAAGACTGATATAAACAGAACCTAATAGTAATGAGTCATGGTCTAAAGGAGTAAAGAGAAGGGAAAACAAGCTCCTCTAGGACTGGTAGCCACTTTGTAGTCACTTCTAACATGCTCACACAAACAGAAGCATAAAAGTGAAAGTCAGACAAAACAAATAGTTTGTAAATGATCACTAGGGGGACCTCAAGACTCAACAGCAAATCTAGCACAGAGTGTAATGTTTGGTTACAGCTGTAATGCCAAATATTTTTATATCTGCTTTTTTCTCTGAAATGGGGAGAGAACGGATGTATGAAATCCCACATCCTTACCTATGAAAGGCAGAAAACAAACTGCTGGGGGACAACATGAGAGGGCCCCTGGGGAGAATTGTTCCTTTGTCATTCACCCAGTGTAAGTATCCTCTGGTGATATCTGCCATCCCAATGGCACGGGCAGAGCAGTACAGAAACTTGTAGCCATTTCTAGAAAAGAATTATCAACTTAATTCATATTCCTGCTGAAGAGTTTCTTTGCAAAGCTAAGTACACAATTATAGCAGTGTCCAGAGGCACCAATTTAGGTATTGAATTGTTGCAGTGCTCTACACACACAAGGAAAAGACTTTTCTGCTGTTAAAGAATCTGCAAGGCATACAGTAGTTTAAATATATGACTCAATCAAAACTGAGAAACAGGAAATGCAAAAAGAACAGAAACAGTAATACTCAGATGACACAATTAGATGGACTAGACTGTGTTTAAATAAGTGCCACACTGGTTTTATTCAGCTTCTTTCAGACCAGCTACATGTGGAATTACAGCAGTTATTTAAATTATCTGCATCACAAAATAATGGGTGCCAGATCTCCTGTCTTTTTCAGGTTGTTGGCAGAATTTGCAGTGTGGGGTGAAGGACTGATAACAACAAACATTCATTAAGCCCTAATTTTTTCCTGCAGACTTTGTAGGTTCATCTGTTACACAGATCTGTTATACCGTTTCTGCACGCACAAAAGACTTGAGTGTTTATGAGCATTTTCAAAGACTTGATTCAATTTGGCAAATAATTCCAAAACTGCTCTTCTATTATGCACTGAATTAAAAAAAAAAAACAAACACAAAAAACCCTACAAAAAACCCAAACAAAAACCCCAAAACAAACAAACAAACAAAACAAAACAAAAAAACAACAAACAAAAACACCCCCCAAACCCAACAAAACCAAAACATTCAGGGTATCTCCCATGGACTCCCATGGCCACAGATGAAATTTAGCCACAGAATGAAGGCCAACAATAGATTCTTTGATCACAAATATTTTTGTGGGCAGAAAGACTACTAAAAAACAAGGATAAAAGTTCATTATTTTAAGTAAATCCTGAAGTTTTTAACAGTTGATCATCCTGTGATCTTCCTCAGTACCAAGTACTATTTCTGGCCTTGCTAGATTTTTGAAAAAAGTTTGCTAAACAAAGGACCAAATCTGAAAGGTGAGGTAGTATGTAGGTTTATTTTGCCCTAAGTTACCAGACATAAATATTATAGGGCTACATACTTCTTAGGTGAACAGCACATTTATAAGGGTGTAGTTTACAACACTTTTGAACAAAACAAATACCTCACTGCTGCTGTAGAGAGAAGGCACAGGGGCTGCCTTTGCAGGTCCTTGCAGATCACAAGGTGAGCACAGGGAAATTGCCAATTTGCTGAATTACTTTTCCACTGTTCTACATCAGCTTATATCAGAAATGCAACTGTGACAGAAAACTTGAGCCAGGCCACAAACTACTCTTTGTGGCAAGTAGCAAGTTGTTAATTAGGCTTGTTCCAGAAAACGGAATTCATCCTAAGGAGCATTCACTTGAGTTGGGTAGCAAACCCAATAAAACACAAAATAGCTATGCTTTGGAAGGACCCAACTTAGTTTTGAGTTTACTCTGTACCATGTTCTAAAAGGCTTGTGATCAACCGAAGTTGGTGGAAACATACAGGCATGACTGTTTGAGAAATTACTGGTATTATGTTTCTCTTTCGTAGTCATAAAAATATTACACAGTTCTTAAAAATGAAATGCAGAATCAAACACTTGAGAAGGGAACTAGCAAAAGTGGTAGCTTGCATTCTTGCAAAAGTATACATCTGAGGAAAGAATTTAATTTTGTTTGTGAACGACAGAAGTAGCTCACTTCCCAACATTTAGACTAACAAATTATAATAAACTATCCATTAATAAATTATTAACAACTATTCAATTACCTGTCCATTAATTCCCAAATTCCAGAAAACTCTAATTGTTTCACAGATTACATACTCACTCGTTTATGGAATGATAGAGTTTTGCAATGCCCTGATGAGTCCAGTCCTTGCCGAACTGAGGGAGGATATGTCCTAAAGCATCAGACCTAAAAGCAGAATCAAAGGTACCTGATACTCAGTATATGAGTTTTGTTAAAGATAACCACTAATATACGATTTTTAAAGAGTATTTACAGAAATATCTCTGCAGAAAGTCCTAACGATTGCAAAAGTGGGGCCATATAACACAAGTCAGTTTCCAAGGTAAGGTATGGCTGCTAAACCTGGAGCAAGCTGAGAGGGAACAGTCACATAGTAAAAATCACCATCTTTGTATTATTCTTTTAAAAGACATTTTCTAGCTTGCTGTAAAGGCAAGTACAAATTAAAATCAAAGCAAGACCTTTTTTTCGTGATTATTAATGAGCGTTCTTTAATAGCCATCTTAAAAAAGGTTCTTTATCTTATTTTGAAAAGCAGAGTAGGATAATAAAGCAAGATTAAAAGAATCAAAGAAAAAAAACCCTCCAAAGATACTTACTTGGTTATTGTTCCATCAATGTCTGATATGATGATTTTATCATTCCAGTTCCAGAGGTATATTGTTCCTGCACAACGGCAAGTTCCTTGATACTGGGTTGTAATACTAAATACAACATCATTAGGGCCATCTCTGAGCTTCAACTTTGCCTTTAGAATAAATAAAAATAATTGAAAATATAAGTTCCCCTCTCTCTAAAACTTTTAGAATCATAAATGAGCTGCAGCAAATGGCTCATATACTCTTCCTTGTCTATCTTGATTAACTCATCAAAAAGTGAACCATGGTTTAACACTGGCACAGTTCTGCTGGCAAAGTCTGCTGCAGTTTGGGTACATGTTTTTTTCCAGAGCTCCTCTATCTGTTTACAGCAGCAGATATTTCACTCTCTGCCTCTTTAATTCTTGCTGTCACAGTAGACTTGCCGCACTATCAAACGGAACTCCCAGTTTGCCAAAGTATGCAACAGTATTTCCTACGTAGTGGGTGCTTTCCTCAAAATTCTTCCCTGATGAAGATCATATATTTAGACAGTAGCAGAACTAACTTTTAGACTGCAATGAGTAAACTACACACCAGTTTAAATGTATGTTGTTAGACAGATGCTCAGATGTATTAGGCAAGTGTCCAGATCCCAGCATATCCAAACTGCAGAAGCAAGTGTCATCACTTTTTTGGCAACATCTTAATATAGAAGTTTGATTATAAAAAATAATTTCTTACAAAGTTTTAATCTAAACACAGATTCTTAAAAAACACTTTCACAGGAAAGTATTTTAACTTTCTTTTTAAATTTTAAATTTCCCCATTCCTTTTTTCTATTGCTAGCACGGTAACCCAAACATAATTTTTACTTTGTGAAATGAACTTACCTGTCACTTCTAAAAAGCAGAAAAAAGTTCAACTCTTAGAATCAGAGTGGAATTAGGGAGCATCCTATGTACAAGAAAGGTGTGCCACTTACTATTTGGTCCGAAGACAGTCTAAGTGACTTCTTATAAGACGGAACGTTCCCATGGGGTGGATGCTCTGCTGGGGCAGAATCCATTTTTAGAGATTCCTTCAACTCCTGTGATGCTTCATCACTAGAAGAATCATCTTCTGGAGGTCTAACAGGGCATCAACCAGAATACACGTAAGCTACAGAAAATGCTTCTTTAACAGAGTAAGGTTATTATGCAAGATTAATTTCTGCTTATGTTGAGGATTTGCTACTACCTGAGAGCACAGATAAACAAAGTCCAAGGTCTAGTGAATGCCCAGATAAAGCCAACATATGCCAGTAAGCAAGTAAGACTTGTAGTGCCAGTACCAGCGGAGCTCTAAACATTACTACTCCTAGCTGGCTGCACACATGACGGGTTTAGTAAAGACATAGTGTCAAGTGGTCACTGATGCTATGTTGATGCATTAGGCACACTGCGGGGGAAGAGGGACACTGAATGGATAACAGTGCTTTGTTTTTAAAAAAAGCTGCCACAGTTTCTACGGAAATTAAACTGGGTGATAAGTTAGTAGAGTAGCTCACCTTTTAAGGTTATTCACAGACTTACTTTCCTGCTCATTAGAGATTTCAAGATTAAAAGCAGTATTTAGTTTCTCTGAAGTATTAAATCACAATATATTAAATTTTTTAATCTTTAAGAGACCAACGCTTACAAGTATCTTTGTAAAATCATGGGAGAATATGAATATGCATAACAAGTTACCTAGAATGGGACAGTTTTGTGCTAAGCACTGATAGCTGTCTACCACAATCATGGGCAACTTGTGCACTGTAATTAATGCTATTTTATTGTTTCAATTATTTAATGTTACAAAAAATTCCACATGGTTTAAATTATTTATACAAGATTAGGCTTTCACAAAAGAAAAAAAGAAAACAGCATCTCAGAAACAATACCACTATATTTACAGAGCAGTGTCCCATTGCTAAAGGTTACCAGGTATGTTTTTGTTCTGTCAGTTATGTTACGATTTAAGAAGTAAACACAGTGGGATTTAGAAAATAATTGTAGTGTGTCTGTAGTTCCTATAATGTTTGCTGTCACATTTTTCTGTTGAATTGTTTGCCAAACACATATGGTTCCTCTTCAGCAGCTTACAGGAAAATGTTTCTTCCCACAGTACATTCCTACTGAATTCTTCGTTCAAAAAAAGAAAAATAAAATAAAAAAAGAAGACACTATTTGGTCCACAAAATAAGTCTTCAGACAGGAACACACCTACTATTAACTTGCTCTTTTATAGTTGCTGGCAGCTCATTTGCTCTTTGAGTCTCAGTTTTCCCCTCTTTCGCCTCTGGTATCTAAAGAAACATGATAATAAAGAATATATTGACATTTTAAACATTTTAAACTGATCTGACTGAATTCGTAGTTTTAAGCAAACAGCTACTAATATAGTACATAAAGTATATTAAGTCTCAGAATTGCTCATTCTGCAAATTATTTAACAAAAAGATGCTTATGAAGAAATGATCCATTAAAGCTTTTTATTATTTCAGGAAACAAAACTCTGTGTGTCAAAAATTGAGAACTACTAGTTTAACATGAGTAATTTAGCATTAAGGGGGCCGTCAACCTCTAAGCTTATAAAATTCACATTTTCGTGGGGAGGTAAATTTAAGGTCCATACTCAAGGTTTAGAAAGCATACTTTAGTTTAAAATGGTGTGTTTCAGCATAAAATCTGTGATGCAGCACAGCACCTACTTATTTATTTGTGTGCACATTCCAAAAACATACTGTAGTGACTGAAGTGTAGCTCTGACTACTGTTTATGGCTTAGAAGAAAGAATTTTAAGAACATTGTGCAACAGCTGAATACAATAAATTTTGTTGAAGTAACTAGTAACACCAAATATTAATGCAGTATTTAAGGCTAAATAAACAGATGCAGCTACAGCTACTGCAACACTGAGTAACTCTCATCTGGCAATCAGTGACACCGAGCTATACAAGCAGTTCAGAGGCACTTCTGACAAATTACAGTCTTTTTATCTTTTTACAGCTAAAAAAAAAAAAAATCAAAATAGGTCTCAAGTTACCTGTTTAATCATGCTTTCTCTCTTGCGCCAGAACCACCACCTTCCAGACTTCTTTGGCATCTTTTCTTTGACCCAAGACTCAACAGTAGCCTGAAAAATTAGACATGGTTTTAATTTGTATAGAAAAACAAACAGATAATCATGTGTTACTACATACAAAATTTTAAAGGAATGTATAAGTTTATCTATTTACCTTAGGCAAACTCTTCTGAAACACCTGCAAACTCAGAATCATCGGAGCAGCCAATGCCCAGTTATAATACCTGTTTTAAAACATGTTATTGATATTACAAAATCTGACTACAAGTCAATAAATATCAGCATGAAAACTTGCCCTTTCACTGATGAATATATATATTTGCTACCAACCACAAATATTACAGTTTTGTGCAAGTAGAGTGATTTTAATGGCCAGTCTTCG